CTTTGCAGATGGGGGAAGGTGGCAGCTCAGCAGCTGATGAGTTGTTTTTTCTCTCTTTTGTGAGAGAGAGAGAGAAAGAAAAGGATAAGGGTCAAGAGACTGGAGAGAAAGAGCAGGCAAGCTTTAAGCAACAAAAATAATGAGTGAGAATTATATGGATGGCCTAGCCATGGTATATGATATGATCAACATTAAAAAGCTAATTTTCTATTTTCTCTTTCTTTTTAATTTTATCTGAATGAAATTATTGCCTTTCATTCATAAGGAGGAGGACGAGGGTTTGTTTGTAAATTTGTAAGTTTCTCATTTTTGTTTTGTTTTTAACATTATTGTTTTCGAGTTTGTGTCCTTTTTTTTATTGTGGTTGGACAGTTCCTTGATTCAGACTCCACGTGCGGTGCTCTTTATCATTCAATCCATAAAGACAGTGGTGGCCGGAGATGGGGGCCCAGTCTTCCAAGTCAAAAAACCTAGCTCGGAGGTTCATTGGTTCAACAAAAAAAAAGATGATCAAGTGGCTCCCATCGCATTCATTTAATCATTGCTGTTTGCACCTTTGCCTTAGTTTTTACCTTCAAGGGCTCTCTATAATTTCTCCAGGGTTATTTTCTCTTTCTTTTGCTCCCACCATCTCTTTCCTTTCAAGGGACCTCAAAAATTCTGTTATTTGATTTTAACTGCGCAATCACTTTTGTGCATGGTGTGGATAATACGAGGAATAAAGTTATTTTTTGAAGGAAATTAATAGCACAGTAAATAATTTTTATCTCAAAGATGGAACTTAAAATTTTATTCCATGTATTTTTCAAGAAAAGAAAACTATATACACATACATTTTCTTGGCTAATATATATAGACATACATTTTTCTGGTCCTTTATCGTATACACGTGAACCACATTGTGCAAGATATATATGTGGTCCTCATCCCTCAAGGACTTGGATTTTGAAAGTTCAAATTTGCTTTTTCTATAAAGTTATAAAGGAACATTTATTTATTTATTTTTTTCGCATCACAACCAATTAACAGGTTACAGAGATTAGCAGAAAAAATGTAAGAAGATGATAAATTATCACTAAAATAATCTCAGTTAGCTAGGCATGCCCTTAGATATTGAGGAGTGAATTCGAACACAAGACTTTGAGTGCATGGATAAACGTTTTTAATCACTTTAAATATAAACTCTTTAGAAAGATAAGTGACCATAGGAAGAAAGAATTGAGAAGTTTTAAAAGCGTTGGAGTAAATTAATTGAGAAGTTTGTAGAAATCTGTAGGATCTCAACTGTGTGAATTGTGCGAGTGAGTGAGAGAGAGAGAGAGAGAGTAAGAATGACATAACGTGCGGCATGTGTAACTTAAAGTGCCTAGCTAGCTAAGAGGCTCAAGGGTCAATTAGTGTAACTTAAAAGGGAGCAAAAAGGAAAAAGCATAGAAATAATATAGAAACGCATAAACTTGCAAAAAAAGGACTAGTAAGCAGGAACAATTACATTTCAACAACCAACATACCAAACTAATGATAAATCCATTTCCATGCCAGCACAGAAACCATATCAATCTCTTACATGCAAATGCCACTTGATAATGACAATTCCAATTTCAGATTCATAGATGGATCAATATTGTTTTCAACTCTCAATTACTTCTAGTAATATTATTTCAAAGTTAAAACCAATTACAGTTTTCAAAGAAAAAAGGAATTATGAACACCAAAATAGTTGTGACAATATAGCAGAACTAGGACCGGAGAATCAACTCTTCTTAGAAACCCTTTTACACAGAAAAAGAAAGGAGGTGAAAATTAGGCCTAGCCTTGGCCTCACCTCAACTATAACAAAGCTATGGCCCTCCCTCCCCATGCTATATATATACATATATCTTCTCCAGCATCACAATAGACCAGTGGGATTAATATTTCATGATGATTGCTAAGAAATCACGTGCCCTGCTACCTGGCTATCATGGCGGTGATGAAGATGGCTTACCATCCACCTTGGCTTTGGCTGAGCGAATGATCAATCATATAAACAAATTTGTCGGAATGTTGGTGGTTGGCGAGCTAAAAATAAATCATTTTCGTCCTATTTTAGGCCAATCCAGTCCCCTCTTTTTCAAAGGACCGATTCATATCCAAACATTATTTATTTAAGCCATGGCTTTAACACATCTGTCGTAATTTTTTTTATTAAAATTCTGAGCCAAAAATGAAGACTTTGGTGTTAAAACAAACAAAATTCAAGTTTATGGCCTTTTGTGCTGTCCATAGATCTTTTGTTATGCTAGGCAATTGTCTATGCATGAACCATTGGTTAACGAACAGCTGTAAATCATTTGGATACTTCATCCTTAATCACAAAAATATCTTACCGACAAATTAACTCTAAAATGTAGTCTCTCTAGCGATTACAATATCTATTTGTATATATAAATAAAACTAACATCCTTAAATTCTTTTGGGACATAATTAGCAGAATATTATAGCTATATAGGAAGATATGTAATGGAATGACAGGTTGGCATGCACAATATTATTAAACATAATTATTTAATTAAAATGACGGGAACTGAAAGACAACAAGGGGCCGGCATAGATATATAACCTAATCATCACTGCACTACTTTAAGCAGCTTTGCTTAACCTAACTTGAAGAATCCAAGTCTCTTTTTCTCCGTACCCAGCACAAAAAGTGATGCATTTATGCATTAATTTGTGGGTCATTCTCATTCTTCCTTCCAAGCTCTTTGAGTCTCTGATTCTGATGATGTATATATATATATATATATGCTTTCCTGTTTTTACTGCTTCGCAAGACTTCAAAATTCAATTTGCTTTGCTCAGTAATTAAATACCATAAGTTAAGTTTATTACCAATTTACCACCAAGAAAACCCATCACGACACTTGTGTGTATGAAAGCGATTACAATATCTATAATAGACACCAAATGCCGACCTCAAAGGATGTTGAAAATTATTATAATCAAGTCAACTCACTTTAGAATTCTGAGCACAAGTTTGAAAAAAAAGCACTGCATCAGTCCAAAGCTGTCTCCATTGTGAAAGCAGTGATTGGTGTGATGATCAATATTATGGCAAAACAATAAACTTCCAATATTTACGGATTTGATATGAGGAGGATGGAGGAGCGTAACCTAATTTCTTATGGGAACATGGGATTTATGGCAAGTGTTCGTATGTTTGCATGAGGACTTGACAATAATACTAGAGAGAGGAGAGGACCATATATCACACCTATGCCTGTGTCGGTAAAGTCTATATGTGCACATCACCTTCAGGTATGGGTCCAATAATTATTTAATTCCCCATTTCTTTTTCTTTTTCTTTTTTTAAAAGTAAACAAAATAAAAAATTGCCAACAATATTAAAAATGAGGTAATAGGGTTAGCACTTAAAACTGTGATTATACTATTAATAATTAAGAATATTTACCCCTGCAATCTCGAGTCCTAGTCAATTGTAAATTGCAAACACAATTACACAGTGAATTGGCACCGATGGAATAGTAGAAGGAGGATTGGGGGCTCACAGTCCAGCTCAGTAAATGGAATGTCCTTCTCGAGTCTTTCTGGCGGAGCTGGTGGGTGGCCTGACAGCGCCACATCAGAGGCTCGGACAGTTGGAATCTACTTGTCCTCCAAGTTTATAATTTTTCTTCTTCTTTATCTTTTTAAATAAAAATCAGCATTATATTTAAATATTCAAATTTATTTTACCGTCAACTTTTTGCATTATTTGTAAGCATTTTTCCCACCCCTATTACTTTCCTCCCAAGATTTAGGAAAGTTATCTTCATCTGCATTATTTTGGACTGACATCAAAACTGCCATATTAAATATTAATTAACGTAAGATTATTATATATATATTTTTTTAAAGTAGCAGCAGTTGGGTCACATCAATGTATGATTTTGTATTTTTTAAACTGACAAAGTTAGGAAGATAAAAGAGGGAAACTCACACGCACCCTACCGCAAGTATAAGAACTTGAATAAGAACTAAATATTTGGACTAATCCAACTAACACTCCATTAATCATGTAAGATTATTAGCTTATGTTTATCCAGCGACCTGGGCTTTGATTGGCCCGCCCTTTTGACAGTAACTACCATAATTGGTTTTAGTTTAATTTTCAAAAAATATTTAAGAAATACTATTAGAAATATTATTGCGGTTCGTTTCTTGCTTAACTCAGATAATGTAATGTGAAACCTACAATATAAAAAGTATTATTTTTTATATAAAAAAATGTCATTGTCACATTTGTAATATCTAGATTTGGCTATGATTCGATGGGAATTTGCCAACCAATAGTTTCAAGAAATAGTCATCGTCTATGAGTATGAAAACATATAGTGCGAGAGGGCAACCATATTATATGTCCGTGGGCCCACTCGATTCATAATTCAAACTAGTTGCCTGCCACGTGATTGACTCTAGTATGATTTACGGGTCCTTGTGATGCCACCTGGAAGTGCTAGTACTTATCTAGGTTTTTACTTTTCGTTGGTTGCTGGTCTTTCTAGATTTTTCTTTAAAGCAATTATTTTGAAGCTAGCTTATGCTTATTCATCATCAAAGTGTATGGATGTGATCGATTATGTGTCTATATATGAAACCAATCGTACGATTAAGTATTCGTTGGATTTGGATGAAAACGACGACTGATTGCGACTTTGCCCAAAATCAATCTAAGAATTGAAAAAGGAACCCGATGGTAAATCGTCATCCCCATGGACCACGGTAAATCATGACCACAGGCCTCATCCAGAACAAAAACACTTTTTTCAACCCAAAAATAAGAACATTGAGTTTGCCCCTGGACCCAAGTTCGATCCCTTTGTACTTTATAGTAATGTAAGCTAATTTAGAATATCACTTTGTTAAAAGTTAAAAAAGGAAAAGAAGGATATAATTCTATGGGCACCTGAAAATTGACTCTTGACACCCAAGATACATACACCCACCCAAAAAGAAACACCTCTGCAATTCTTGGCCCATGTCTTTTCTTTTTTTCTTCAAGGGAAGAAACTTGCATATATGAAAGCCCAAAAGGGCAAAGATTACAAACAAGACCCAAAGGGCCAGTCAAGACAGAGAACTACAGATATCTAGGCCCATGCCTTTTCTTAAACCTCATCTTCCCTATTTGCGATGTCTAAAAGACTGCTTCATCCAACAACTGGTACAATCCTATAACATAAGCCAACAATTTGCATACTTCAAATGCCTGAACGAAGTGAGGCAAATGGCACACTTAGAATTTCACTTTCTCTTAAGAAAACCCTTGCAGATATGAATACACAATTGATTTAGTACTACCTAACAATGTGGCGTTCTTCATAAAACTGTCAAATTCATCTCAGGCCACAGAGCCAAAAAGATTCCAGTCATTGACTTTGAAGCTAGAGACAGCGAGTTTAAAGACCTCGGCCACTGGCATATATCCGGATTGTACTGCAGGAACAGCAAGACCAGCCCCCACTGTGCTTGCACTTTCGCTCAAAGGACTGCAACCAAAATGACATATGCGAATCGAGTCATATAATGCACAAGTGACAATTGATCTATAAAATAGACTATCTAACATGCATATATTTTCTCTTTTTGACCTGAATGAACTCAACCATAATGGATATAAATCATTGCCATAGCAACCATATTGTTTTTCAGCATCATATATGCTAAGGATAACAAAAATAAAAAGAGAGAGATAATCCATGGACTAATTATTTCCTTTTGGCAGAATTTCGAAGAGATTAAATTCAGCCAAACTGCATACATCTAAGCAAATTCGCATAACACAAAGAATAAAAGGAAGTATTAATGGAAGCCCAGGGAAAGGTCTTTGGGAGGGACCTGAATTCCTTAAGGTGTTTAAGGGATTACAGGGTGGGATGTATTGTAACATAAGCTAACTACATCATCCTTGATTAAAGAATATTGCAAGTACATGTAATAAGGCATACACTACATCCTACTATGTATGGTGCAATCAGGAAGTCCCGATCTTTGATGATAACACCCCCACATAGTCAAGAAGACATTCAGTAAGTCCGACTAGATCTTTCCATAACTAATTGCCATAGCATCAATATTATTTTTCAACATCTTATACGATCAGGATAAGAAACAAAGAGAGAAACCACACACTAATTATTTGCTTTTGGTAGATTTTGAAAGAGATTGAATTCAGCGAAAGTGCTTTCAAGCCTTACGTATAAGCAAATTCGCATAACACAAAGAACACAATAAAGTATCAAATGAAAGCCCAGGGAAGGCTCTTTGGGAGAGACCTGAATTTCTTAAGGTCTTTAAGGGATTAACAAGGTGGAATGTATAGAACATAAGCTAGAGACATTGTTCTATAGTTTCTCTTTCTTTCTTTTTTCCTTTTTAGTTGCTTAAATTTTAAAAAGAAAACATCAGATTAAAGAATATTGCAAGCTACATGTAAGAAGGCATACACTAAATTAGGTCTGGTGCAATCAGGAAGCGCAGAGAATCCATAAATACTTGTGTGAAAATCTCAATGAGGATAAGCTGGTAAATCTCTGTGCTAGCAAGCGCAGAGAATCCATGACTATCTTATTTCTAAGAGAAAATGTTCTATTGTATCCAGGTGAAAGGATCAGAATAAATTTCAGTCAATAACAAAAATATAATTTTTGTGGCAATTCACTCCTCAAACTTACTTTATATGAACGGGTTCATATGCAGTAACTAGCACATCAGTATTAACTTCCTTAAGTCGCAGATTTGCCACATAGACCTGGAGGCAGGACTCAAAACAATAAACCCCAATTAGCATACTTGCAAAAATGAACCTGGAATAGCATCCTGAAACAGCTTCGAACACTCTGAACACAACAAACAAACATACCCTCACAATATTTTGTGCCTCCCTTCCTTGCCGCCCCTTGGAAATGGACTAGTTTCAAGAAAGAAAAATATGTGAAATATGATGCAAAACAGATGGCAAGAGTCAAAAGCAAAAACCAGTAAGCCAGAGAAAAAATTTGGCAACAACATGGAACTGATTGCACATACCATTTGGCCAACAGCAGTTGTAACAACAGCAGGTGTGTTTCTATAACATAATCCAGGGGCCTCAACTACTCCTGACTGTTCAATCACCTGAAGGTGATTGGCAAAAGAAAATGTCAAATACAAATATAGCTAATTCGGGACGATGGGTACTCACAGAATACCGAAAAAGTGACAGATATCGCATTACATATGGAACTGACACTGAGTGTGCCTAAGGAATTGATGAATGAGATAATTGGGGATAGTATAGTATGAATAATAAGACAATACAGAAGATGGGAATTACCATGCTCCCGTCAGCATCTTGTTCAGTGGCGAGGTCTTGGAGAAACCAGGTAGCACTTCCATCATCGCCAACTTCATGCTTCAATTCCAAGAGCTCAAAGATCAAGCTTTCGTCCCGGTCGGGGTCCACAAATGCCTCCTTTAGAAACCCACCGAGAAAAACGAACAATCAATAAAATGAAATGAAAACCACTACTAACCAAAACTTGACAGCTTGAATGAAGTACGAGACATAACCAATTAACCATATTAACCAACCTGGTGATCAGGAACTTGCCGAATGTCGCTCACATCCTACAGTTTTGATACTCTCCCATAAGTCATTTAACAGAAAGAAAAACAAAAAACAAAATTGAAACACAAATACGAAAATAAAATTAAAGAAGAAAAAAACCAACCTGGAACCTAAGAGGGAAGGTGCTAGTAATGGCACCGCCAAACAAAGGGCGCTCAGAGTAGATGTCTTGGGACATGTTGTTAGCCAATATAGGAAACAGAGACAAACGACGTCGCTTTTCCTAAAATAATCTCCATTATAAATTTGAGAGAACCCAAAAAAATGAAGAAAAGAAAAACAGAGAACGAAACTGAATGCAGGAATGCAAAATAGAACAAGTTTGTTAATGATGGAATGGAATTATTATACCTCTAACAGTAACAGGGCAATTCAGAGTTGAGAGAGAGAGAGGTTTCTGGTTTGTTCTATGGAAACTTTCTCAAGTTCGTGGGCTCTTTCTGCTTCTGCTTGATCGTTGTGTATTTATAAGTACGCAGTTGCGTCAATTTGACGACTGCCTAATTTATACTCCAAAACGGTGATAGAAGAAGACGAAGAAGACGAAGTCTGCCTAATGTCTTCGTTAGGCTTAGGCCCAAGTCCGAAAGCCCAAAGATCAAGGGCCAAGCGTGACGCGCCGAAAATATTTGACCGCGAAACGTACAAAAGACCACGAAACGTTTCGCGATTTCAAGGAGAAACGAAGTGACTGACTGAAAGAAGTAAAAGAAAAGCCCAAACCAAAGTGGCATCCAAACCCCGGGCACAAGCCAAAGCCATACCTTTGCTTGTCCTCTTTCTTACCCTTCATTTCTGGTATAATATTTTATAATTATATATTTTTTTTTATCACAATTTGGGTTTGGCTTAAAAACCTTCTCTTCCCCAATCAATTTCGTTTCAATTATTTTCAACAACTGTCACGCGGTAAATCAATCTCTTTATCACCGGTCTCCCTCCCTCCGCCTCCATCAAACCAAACGCCAAGCTCATCACCCGTTTCGGCGTAGCGATTCGGAGTCTTTTCCGGTATATCGGAATCGGAAAATTAAGGAATTAGAAAAAGGAAAGAGAGAAAAAGAACCGATGAGTAACCAGAAGAAGAGGAATTTCCAGATAGAGGCGTTCAAGCACAGAGTGGTGGTGGATCCGAAATACGCAGACAAGACCTGGAAGGTATTGGAGCATGCAATCCACGAGATTTACAATCACAATGCTAGTGGCCTCAGCTTCGAAGAGCTTTATAGGTTCGTTCCCTCCCTCCCTCCCTCGCTTTTTTTTTCTTCTTCTTTCTGTTCTCTAATTTCTCTGTATTTCACGTTTTTGTTTCTTCTTCTTCGTTTATGAATATTTTCAATTTGACTTGCTTCTGTTGCGTGCTTATGTAGATTGCTTAGAATAGTAGGAGGCTTGATGCGATGGTTTGCCTTTTGTTTTAACTTCATCGTTTTTATGGCTCGCAGAGTCTTTACAAAAAATATATATGGAAATATCATATGATGATGTGATATAATTCTTAGAATTAGGAAATGGTGAAGGAAGAAGTAAATTATTTTCCAAGTATTTTAGATGTCAAATATGTTCGAATGCAAACAAATTTGGCGACACATGAACCAATTTGCCTGTAGAATGAGTTATAATTGGGAGGAATATGTTCATGTGAGTGAACCATTACATTACACTAGCTAAATTACGTTTAGGATTTTGTGAGAATGGCTTCTCACATTACTAAGCTCTAGTGTTGTTGTTTTATGGATTTAGAAATGCCTACAATATGGTGCTTCACAAATTTGGGGAGAAGCTTTACTCGGGGCTGGTTACGACTATGACTTCTCATCTCAAAGAAATATCAAAATCTATTGAAGCTGCTCAGGGAGGAATGTTTCTTGAAGAAATGAATAGGAGGTGGACCGACCACAACAAGGCGTTGCAAATGATTCGAGACATACTGATGTACATGGACAGGACTTACATTCCGAGTACCCAGAAAACCCCTGTTCACGAGCTTGGATTGAACCTTTGGAGAGACAATATTATCCGCTCTAGCAAGATTCAGACGAGGCTTTTAAACACACTTCTTGAACTAGTACTTAGAGAACGGACTGGTGAGGTTATCAACCGGGGGTTGATGAGGAATATTATTAAGATGCTAATGGATTTAGGTCCTTCAGTTTACCAGGAAGACTTTGAGAATCCTTTTCTTGAGGTTTCAGCTGAATTTTACAGGGGTGAGTCTCAAAAGTTTATTGAGTGCTGTGATTGTGGGGATTATCTGAAGAAGGCTGAGAGGCGCCTGAACGAGGAACTGGATAGGGTGACGCATTACTTGGATGCCAGGAGTGAAGCCAAAATAACTAATGTGGTGGAGAAGGAGATGATTGCAAACCACATGCTGAGACTAGTCCACATGGACAATTCAGGTTTGGTGAATATGCTTCTTGATGATAAGTACGAAGACCTTGGAAGAATGTACAACTTGTTCCGTCGGGTTTCCAATGGTCTATCAACAATACGAGAAGTGATGACTTCTCACCTCAGGGAAACTGGTAAACAGCTGGTTACTGATCCAGAAAGGTTGAAGGATCCAGTGGAATTTGTTCAGAGGCTCTTGGATGAGAAGGATAAGTATGACAGCATCATTAGACTGTCTTTCAGCAATGACAAGACATTCCTAAATGCTTTGAATTCCTCTTTCGAATTCTTCATTAATCTGAACAACCGTTCACCTGAGTTCATTTCACTGTTTGTTGATGACAAACTCCGCAAAGGTTTGAAGGGGGTCAGTGAGGAGGATGTAGAAATTATTCTTGACAAGGTGATGATGTTGTTCCGTTACTTGCAGGAGAAAGATGTATTTGAGAAATATTATAAACAGCATTTGGCAAAGCGGCTTTTGTCTGGTAAAACTGTCTCAGATGATGCAGAGAGGAGTTTGATAGTTAAGCTCAAGACAGAATGCGGGTACCAATTTACTTCAAAATTAGAGGGCATGTTTACAGATATGAAAACGTCCCAGGATACAATGCAAGGTTTTTATGCAAGCCATCCTGAGCTAGGGGATGGCCCTACATTGACCGTCCAGGTTCTGACAACAGGGTCCTGGCCCACTCAACCCAGTGTGACATGCAACCTTCCATCAGAAATGTCAGCACTCTGTGAGAAGTTCCGTTCGTATTACCTTGGAACACATACAGGTCGAAGATTGTCGTGGCAGACTAACATGGGTACAGCAGATATAAAGGCTAGCTTTGGGAAGGGCCAGAAGCATGAGTTGAATGTCTCCACTTACCAAATGTGTGTCCTAATGCTATTTAATAATGCTGAGCGACTTAGCTATAAGGAGATTGAGCAGGCCACAGAGATTCCTACTGTAGATTTGAAGAGGTGTCTGCAATCCATGGCTTGCGTGAAGGGAAAGAATGTTCTTCGGAAAGAACCTATGAGTAAAGACATTGGTGAGGATGATGCCTTTTTCGTTAATGACAAGTTCACGAGTAAGTTATATAAGGTGAAGATAGGAACTGTGGTTGCACAGAAGGAATCAGAACCTGAAAAACAAGAGACTCGTCAGAGAGTGGAGGAGGACAGGAAGCCCCAGATTGAAGCTGCCATAGTGAGGATCATGAAATCACGGAGGGCTCTGGATCATAACAATATAATTTCTGAGGTCACGAAGCAGTTGCAATCTCGATTCCTGGCCAATCCAACGGAGATTAAGAAACGCATCGAGTCCCTTATCGAGCGGGACTTTTTGGAACGAGATAGTATAGACAGAAAATTGTACCGGTATCTTGCCTAAAGATTGTTCTGCTTGTCTTAGCATTGACAACTGAAATTGTACCTCAGACTAGGTGATGTAATATTGGTCTGATCTCTGCAAGCTCCATTGGTTATCAATGAATATCAATTTATTTCCACTTTTACCGTTCACCGTTTGAGTGGATCGGATGGCTTTTTTTTTTTCTTTAAGTTGAAAGAATACATGTATATATGATGAAATTTTGCTTCCTTTTGTGCGCTAATTGTAGCTAAAGCATAGTTTGAGATCATGTTTCTTTTTTGCTTTTTTTCTTTTGGTACATAGTTGAGCTCGTCGGCCCATTGTGCTGTATATGGTATCTCTTTATGTAATAATAGTTACATTAATTATCAGATCAAATTATCCAAGAATTTCTCCCAGTAGAGATTGAGCTCATGCTGATTCAGTCATGACTCATCTCAAAGGAATTGCGATGGCTTTAATTAATATATGAAATTATGAATTGAATATAAAACAAAATCTTATAAATTGACTTGAACAATTTTTTCGGTGATATTGTATGTTATCTTACAATACAAGGTAAACTTTTGGAAGCAATCAAGGTTATTGTACCACTAAATTCTTGTAACATAGATTCAGGATGTTAGGTCCCCAGGAGTGTGGTATACGGTATATCTACTTCTATGGAAGCTATGACTCTGAGATGAGAATGCGATTTCGAATGTCAGCAAACGTCTTTACATCCAGGCCCCATAACCTGCTCATTCAAATCAAGGGTAAGTACCAACAATCTTCTGTGACATTCATGAAAAGTCCTAATCTACTACTTAATATGAATGTTTCGTATCATGGTCAATGAGAAAATCTGAGATCACCAGACAAGGCAGAAATTTGTATTTATACTGCAAAGAACTCTTACCAGCAATCAATTCCAACGGCATTGGCCCCAACTTTATCTGCGATTTTATCATCGCCAACATGCACTGCTTTGCCAGCATCCACATGAACTTGATCTGCAACGATTGAAGAACTTGTGAGGGCAGCTTCAATGTGTACTTTTAACATTAACCAAGAAAACATTGTCTGGAACACTATAATAAATCTCGATCTCTACGACAACATTGTTATAAACTCATCATATATAACGTGCCTAAAGCAGGTTTAAATATGTTTGCATCTGGTTTTTCATACCCAACCTCAGAAGATATGATAACAGCATCAAACCTGCAACGAGAATCAAGAGAAATGCTTCATTTCTTAATACATAAATAAATAAATAAACCCAACACCCATGTGACATGAATATGACAATTTAGCAACAAACAGAAGAACAATGAATGATGTCCAGTTGCTCACAGATGTAAAACATTAAGGTCTTCGAGTAGCATCCTTAAGCGGGAGTCGAAATTAGATACAACAGCCAGCTTAACTGCATGTCACTGCTGGCAATGTTAAAATAGTAGGAACTAGCAAGCAAGATAACGAAGCAGAATATTTGGGTAAAAAAAATTGGACCTCCAGCATCCTTGAGAAGGGCCATTGTTTCATAAGCTCCCTCTGGAAGACGCCATGAGTCACCTTTGGCATAGTACTGATAAAACCAACCAAACCCATTAACGATATTGACACCAATTGCAACAATTCTCTTCAAAGCTTCAAACTAGGGAATATAATCATTGAAATTACCTCATAGACTTGTTCGAAATAATCGAGATCAGCACAACCAGTGGCTTCAGAAACAACAAGTTTCCAAAATGGTCTCCCATCTCCCTACCATTATTGATTTTGGCATTATCAATACCCAGAATAATTAGCATTGATATATTGAGCTAATTGCAGAAATACAATCAATTTAAGACCTTGTAACGAAGCTTTTGAGGCCAAGGAGCAGAAAAGGCTCTTTTGAAACCTTGCTTGATTTCTGCTGGAGTTGCAGTCACTCCTGTGGAAAAGCAAAAATGGGTTGTTTGTATTTGGATTTAAAAAAAAAATTCAATGTTTAATGGGAAATTGAGGACTTGAATTTGGAGACAAACCGTATTGGGCTCCAATTGAAGCGTAAACCTCTTCGACTGGCTTTGCCAACTGCAGCAGAGTGCCTCCAGCGTCTAACAACAATGCGTCATAGGCCTTGCGATTGAGAGCAGATCCTCTTCCTCCTCCTCTAACAGAGTGTATGGGCATGGAAGAGCAACGAATGGAGTTCCTGGGAAGCTTCAGATGGAGTGGTTTGAGGGTTTTCAATAGAGCGCTGCCATGAGAGCATCTCATCAAGCAACCCTCCATTTCCTTCCTTCACAACAAAGTGAAAAGTCTCAGCCCAAGTCCATGGGTGGAAATGGATTTTGTTCTCCTTTTTTTTATTTCCTCTTTTGTTTGCAGAAGAAAGACTAAAACCGTGGAGTTGGGCTGCAGTTTCCCCAAGATCACTTTGTTTTGTTTATTTCAAGCATTGGAAGATACGATGTCGTGTTGGTATTTCATGAGCTAACATGATCTTACAATTTTGGATCACAACTTGGCAAATACATATATTATTTGAGGCTGAAATCTTCATGCTTACAAACGAAGTACAAAACGACTCTCATCCCTTCATGTGTTGGGCTTGGGATGAGCTAAAAGAATTTGTACATAAAAAATGTATAAGCTATACAAACGAATATTACAACCTGTTAGTTTCTAAACTACCCTTCTTTCAAGAAAATTAGAAAGTCGGGTTTGGAACTGAAAATTACAAGGAAAATAAATCCGCTTTCTACAAATGTCCTCAACAACATTGCTTGGTCTGCCTTTCCCTGTTTGAAACAGCAGTTGAGACTTGTGGCTGTTCGATCTTTGGATCTTTTTGTAATGCCAAATTAAATTCCTCTCTGTGTGCTACATGGTCAGGTGCAACAACAACAAAACCTACCAGCCATTCAGGCTCAGCGTCAGCTACAAGCCTACAACGAGTTAACCCATTCAATCTCGCAAGACGAGCAGCTGACATTAGCTTGGTTTTCACTTCAGTCTCCATCCCTGCATAAACTTTGATGAATTTAGTAAATAGAACCAAAGGCTTTTTACGGAATTAATGTCCAGTCAGTAAGTGTTAGGAATCTAAACACTGAACATCAAATTAACCTTACCAGAATAACTGCAAATAATAATTACTGATCAAATAACAGGTGGAGGTCCTGGAGGAGATGGCTCTTCCCTATGCCGGAATAGCTTTACTAGTGCTCTGCGCTCACAGTCCTGAAAAAATTTAACAAAGAGAAATAGTTCAATTAATAATTTGTCTCACTAGATAACATTCAATGATATGTTCTACATTATGCAGCCAGGACACGGTTCAAATCGACAAACTCAAAATACATGATTAGAATGCCCAACAAATGCATGCAAATTGCTAAAAAAGAATGAACTTATAAAATAATCTAGTTGTTCCTTGTGCAAGAAAAGTATGCTGAGTAGCATTCGCTGCTACCCATCTTTTAATTTTCACCTGCAAAGTTCTAAGACCACATACTACTACACAGGCTATATCATAGATTGAGAAGTATCATGATTGACATATAATTATCTTTTGTATCTCTTTAAGCTGTTTCACAAGCACAAAGTTTTTACAAAGGAATTATCGCAAAAAATACAATAGTTCTGCAAAGATATCTTAGCAAAGGTAATCCCTAAAGAAGCAGGAACACTATTCTCCCATAAATTTCAAAGAAGCACTACATGCTAAGAGTAATATTTGCACATACAGCTTGAATTGCTTTTTTCATAAGTTTCTAAGAATAATATGATGTAAACACTAACAGAAATATACGTCATAATTTTTTATGAATTTCCAATACCTTGAACATAATTAGGTAGAATGGTCTATCTGGGTTCATTCTCCTCAATTTTAAGTACGTATATGCAAAGCTTAGTTGATCACGGGAGGTAAACCTGTCAACTTCATTAAACCAAAGGCATGAAAATAAATTTGAAATTGGTGTATGTGCCCGGACTATAAATGAACCTTCAGGAACATCTGCAAGGTAAATGGCACATGAAATCAGCAAAGAGTATTATTGATTCCAGACGAAGGAAAATAAAATCTTTATGAATTAAAAAAAGGGTAATAACACGCACAACTGGGAAGAGGGGTATTTGGGTCTGAAGGGTCAAACTTGGTGAGGCCATCAGACTGGTAAAATGCAAACTGTTCATCAATGGCTGTGTGATTGAACTTATCAAGACGCTTATTTTGGAGTACCTCCTCCGAGACACAATGTCGCTCATAATGGTTGGAAATGGCATATTCTGATTTTGTTCGCCACAAAAAGTATTCAATAATCAGCATTGGATCAGTATTAAGTCGCATCTTGCTGTCAAGCCAAATTGAATACCTGATACATGGTGAAAACCCAATCAGAATTGAATGGACCAAAATCGCCCCAGAAACTGTATGGCTAGAACATGGTGTAAGAATTACCATGAATGGGGGAAAAGGCGATGTGATAAAAATTTTGGCACCTTTCCAGTTCTGCGCATATCCTCATATGGTAAATTCTTCACTATGACTATCTTCCACAAGCCAATTCGTCCTGTATCATCAGGAACATGTCCCTCGGATGATAATTTTCCCAATGTTTGCTCATCCACAAACATTACAAAACAAACGTTTTTCTTGGAATATTCACTGATCTGTATTAAAGGAGGATACATTATCATCACTTAAAAGAAAGAAAGCTCGCAAAAATATTCCAATGCTCGTATAAATATTCACACTTCAGTATTCCTCAGGACGTATAGTTTTCCAGATCGCAAAAAATATTCTAATCTACAATCAACATAATGATTGAGAACAAAAGTAGGTCATGGGAAAAATAAGACATCATCTACACAACCTTCAACATCCCAGCAGGTATCTCAGCCATTAATCAGATCATACTTTAAACTCATCTGCAGTCATACCATAGAAAGCACCAAAGCTCTCCATGAATAACAACTTCACTTAATTGCTTTTTTATCTCCACACTTGAGAAGCCCTCTAATGCCTCGTCACACTGCCTTTATGTAAAATAAAACTATTGGAAAGAGCTGTCTGAAAGAAAATTTTACATCTTCAGACTTGGTTCGTCATCTTCAACTCTACACCTATTAATTTTCTTGTCCGACACAAAGGGGTCTAATTACTAACTCAAATGTTTATCAGCCAAACAAAATATCAAGATGAAGGCAAGTTCTTTTAGCATCATCCCATTTCATAGAGAACCAACAGAAAGAGGAAAAATAACTATTTAACCAAAAACATTTGATTATATGCTTTATATGAATAAGAGACGACAAAAAAGTTCAATAAGGACTAGCTCATTAACCTTTTTGCTTGTAGGCCTCCTAAGAAAGTCAGAGCTTCCAAAAATGCAAGAAGATACTGCAATCTTACACTCGTTCATGTATGCCTTGTCCTTCGCATCTATATCAAATCCAGTGCTTGAGAATCCAGGGGGTCCTTTGATAAATCCACAATGTAGAGTTTGATTTTTCGCAAAGAAAGATTGCTCTCTTTCCTCAAGTGTTTGATGTCCTCCAAATCTAGGTTCATATATATTACTATGGGAAGGTATTCCCTCTTGGTCAATGAACTCTAGTGAAAACTGTGTGAAGTTCATGACTTCCTTAGGTTCAACAACATACTCAACTGATTCCAGAAACCCAACCTCGCAAGGCAAATCTGAAAAATCATTGTATGGGAGGAAGCAAAAGGGATGAGCCATACGGATAAACTGGTTTGGAAATTTTGCATCTTTGTATAATCCAACGAACAAGAAAGACAAAGACATCATATCTTCATATGCATGAGCACTAAATCAATAATAAACTCAAAGGTTGTGATATGAAACATTGAAAATATAACACTTCACACTTACACTGCTTACGATGCTTGCTTCTGGGTGGTCTTCCAACAACATGAAATGGCAAAATTTGTTGCCGTGCTGAAATACGGATACTAGTACCACTACCTTCTAGTTTAGCTGCAATGAGTAATAAACTACATCTGTAAATATCCCATTATAATACCCAGATGATTAAATAAGAAAATAAACGAAAGTTCAAGTTTTGAACATACCAGGCAAATGCACATTGAGACCGAAGAGTAGCAAGTAAATCAAAAATATGGCTGCAAAGAGAAACACCCAGAGCCAGAATTTGTGTCTGACAAATCGACCCAACTTTCTTCCTTTACGAACAAGACGAGTGCCATGCTCACTTGGACCAAAAGATTTCAACAACGCCCCAATTATACCTCTAGTCCTCATCTCCGGTAACAACAATTCTATCTCTACCGTCGTCTGTAGAGACCCATCATCATAATCTTACATGCATGTTCTCAAACAGGAACAACATAAGAGAGCTGCTTCCATGGCGTGGCGGGTTTACCCGATCGAAGATCTAACGGTAAGGGAGTGGTGAAGTGGGAAAGCGATGGGAAGATGAAGATCTATCATCGTTGATAGAGCCCCTAGTTTCCATGGGAGTTCAATAATGAGCGTAACATTTTTCTTTTCTGTCCCCTGCAATTTTCAGCCGTCTCAGGCTGTCTGGAAATTACCAGCTACCAATATTTTTACCGGCCCAAATGGTAAGAAGATAAGGAGTGATTTTTCACAACCCATTTTATCCTTTATATATATATATATATATATATTTCCAAAATATAATTTTTACTTACTTACTACGAAAGGTAATTGAGTCAGACTCGGCAGAAGCAGCGATTCCTTATTGGGCTCCGGACCCATTTGGCTCAGTAGTTAAGTAGTCTTTGGGCCTTCTTCGTACCAGATTTCCCGCGTTCTTCTCATGTTAGCATATTAAATTGAAACAAAAAAATTATAATATGTTCATACTTTTCTTATATGTAACATGGGACTAAAAATTGAGGATTTTTTGTAGTATTTTTTAATTAAAGATTGTTGAGGCCCAAAAAATTCAGGGTTGGGTCCAAATAAATTTCTAGCCCAATGCAATACCTTATTGAGAAGAAATCCGGTGTGGGCATTCGAAAATTCGTCATACACGCTCGCACAAGTCATGATACCACGTGCTATGCCAAATAAATATGTAATCTGTCACGCTGAGAGTTGAAACGAGCCTATAAAATGCACTGGCTCTTTGAACCCATGCTAATTATCTCATCAAGCGTCATAGCCTTTGAGCACGAGCACGCCAATCGACATGCCATGCCAAGCGAAAAATCATTATTTTGCACCTAGCCACGCTACAAGCTTAAGTGGGCTCAAGCCACGCAAATGCCCGAGGCTTGCTGAGTGAGTTGTGGCATGGATGGTTACGAGCATTCATGAGGCCCATTGATGAGCCGAGAAATGGAAGTTTTGGGCTGCTTAGGAGCCCCAAAACTCAAGCTCATTTCTTGAGCCCAAATATATGAGTAAGCATAAATGAAAGAAATAGGTAGCCCATTACTTTAGAAAATTGGCCCATCACCTTAATAAAAATGGTCCATCACTTTAGGAGGTTGGCCCATTCCCTTAGTACACTAACCCATCACCTTAGGAAGGCCCAAATGACCAAGAAAATATCTAAAAGTTTCCAGCACATGGCTGGAGACAAATCCACGATAGAAGCCAAAAGCCACTCACGAAGGCAGACTGCTGGGAGGCTCCAGCATGTGGCCAAAAGCAAACTTCAAAGTAGATCATCCAAAAAATCAAAGGGTATTAGCGCTCGCAGGTTGCTAGGAGAAAAGGCACCCTTCAAACCAACGCCCTTACCTATTTCTTTCTCCCACCAGCTCTTGCCATGAAAGATGGGAGGAAAGAAGGTGATGTAGTAGCCAAAAATAGGAGTTTAACACTGAAGTAGTTGCGGGAAGGCCTTAGAGCTCCCAAAAATCTTGTCTTTGTGTATTTGGACAGAGCAAGATTTCACAAAAGAGGTTGAATTGAAGGAAGAAAAGAGAAATAGAGGAGAAGACTTAGAAAAATTGGAGAGAACCAACTAGGGTTTCTTGGGAAGGAAGAGCTTCCAGCAGCTATAAAAGGAGGCACCTCCTACCCATTAAACACAACCACACCCACTACTTCACCACTAGCTACAAACCTACATCCAGAGAACAAGCATTATCTCTCATCCCTGAAGCCCTTCAATTTCGTGCTCCATTCCTCCATCTCCTCCCACTTTCTCTTCTGGCAAGTTGTTCCAGAGCCTGACATAGCTTTCATCAGGCTACTGGAAAGTTACTCAACACACCCATTGTCCTCCTCTCTCTCTCCCCTCAACTAATTCTCTCGAAATTCCTTCTCCCCTTACTTTATTCCTCTGCTTCTCATAGGAAATCACAGCCCTCTTTAATGCTAAACTCATGACTGCTTTGCTTCCATGCCACAAGCCTCTCATGCCAAGCTAAGTATTTTTCTGTAAGCGATTGTTAGTTTCGTTAGTGAAGGTAACCAAGGTGCTTCCTAAAACTCAGCTACCCTTTCGAAGCATTCTTGGGGTCTGATTCTTGAACTCAGACTCAGGGGCAATTTCACACATTTGGTTCTTTACAGCAGCCCAAGCCCCCAGTAGCTGTCGAAACGAAAAAGCCCCTACAAAGATTTAATATGGGACAAAAAAATTGAGGATTTATTTAATATGAAAATTTATGATTTGTTGAAAGAAGCCACCAAATCAAAGTCCTTATATGTAGATATTGAAAGCGGAAGGAAGCTAAGAGATGATTTTTGTAAAGTGGTCCTTGACAAAAATAAATAAATTAAGTGGGCCAGGCTTGGAATGGGTTCGGGCCAAGCACGGCCCATGTCGGGCCCAAGCTGGGCTCATGCCATTCAACATTATTCAATGTTATCTCTCTTTTGTGAACTCTGAATTTAATCTGGTTGGAACTTTGAATTTTCTTCTCTTCCATTCAACATTATTCAATGTTATTTCCTTCAACATTATTCAATGTTATCTCCTTCATTTTCTCTTTTTTTAGTTCTTGAGCTTTCTCTCTTCTCTAAAGAACCACTAATAAATAAAATTTGAAATTGTCTGCCTGCCTGCGTGCCTATCCGCACTATGATATGAAAATGAAGGAACCTGAACCTGAACCTGAACCTTCAGGAACGTAGTCTGCATATAACATCATATCTATATATAGATTCCAAATGAAAGGAAAAGCCAATAACACGCACAACTTCGGTTGGGACACAGTAATAAATAAAGCAAAAACCCAAAAAAACATCCTAACTTGTCAAGGCAACGCTCAATGAATATTAAGATGATTTAGAGACTAGACTAACATAGTCCATTAAAAGGTGGCACAACCCAAATAGCTCTTTGAGTATTGGTTTTCACTGAGTAATGTTGCGTGGTGGTTCTGTCCTCCAAGTCGAAGATCCCCATATCATTTGCTTCATCACCCTCTAACAAAGGAGAAGTTGATAGGAAATCATCGGCATAATATATGGAATTTGGCTGACATTCAGGAAAGTTTGATGCCAAAACAGAGATTGAATGATTGTCGCCCATGAACAAAGCCTCATCTCCAATGCTTTTTACCTCAACCTTGTGCGCAATAGAACCTCCATCTTCATCGTTCAACACCCACTTGTAAACCGCAAATCCTAGAGTCTGCCTATTATAAAACCTAAAAGCACCATCCTTTGGCACATAATATCTTAATATATGCAACAAGTCTCCCTGAGTTGATTCCACAAGATATGCATGAAAACAGTAAGATCGGAATGGCTTTCGAGGTGTGAGTAGCTTTATCGATGGTGGTTGTGAAGGGTTATTACTATCACTACCATAAACATCCAATGACCCAATCGCTACAAATGATGTAACTACATACAGTTGGCTTTTATAGAATATAACATCACCATATGAAGTTCCAGCAGGGTTGACGTAGGTCCAAGAGTTTTGGCCTGCCTTGATGAAAGCCAACAACGGTAAAGTGCCACAACCACATAATTCTCCGGATTCAGAGTGGGGTCACCGGACAAGATAACCTTAGGAACATAATGCTCATAGCAGGATGGTTCATAAACTAAGACATGAGCATTCAAGGGAGGGAGATAAATGGGATTTGCTTTTGTGAAAGGGTTCCTGAGTGTTACGGTCACTACACCTTGGTTGTTGGATCAACTGTGGCAAACCAGCCATGTCAAGAGCCACTACCTCCACCTAAAAGGAACTTGCAATTGAATATTGTTGTAGATTCTTCCTTTAGAAATGTTGTACAATACTCTTTGGTCGTTGTCTTTGTCCTGGTTCGGGATCAAGAGCATAGGGAGAAGTTGTTTGTTGTGCACCGCTGCGTTGTCTAATTATAGAGTTTGGACATAGAATGCCATTCCTTGCAGACGGCAGCAAAGTGAACATGGTCAATGGGTTCTAATAATTTATCCAGAATCAAAAAGACAAGTGCTGGATAACTTGCCCATCCCCCACTACTAAAGCTGATAGCCGTGGTCCTACGACAACAACAGGGGTTCTTATCAGACTTAAAAGTGGACATAATAATGAATTCTTTGCTATGAAACTTTAATTTTGAATTTAAAACACAAGGGAAAGGCAAAACCAGAATAGAAAAGAACAAGGAAAGAAACTGCAGCAGGGTATAATTGTATGCTTGTGATGCATAGAAGAAAGTTTTGATAGATAGTAGTTGATGATGAGGAGAAGTGAAGTGAACTCTTTATTTAAATAGACAAGGCATTGAAAATAAATCTCCTTTAAGAATACAGAAACCACTTTCCAACAGCAACAAGGAAATCCTAAAGGAATTAATAAAAAGCTTATCGTTATTTTCGTTTGTTCAACGAAACAATTAGGAAATCCCTTCCTCTAGTGTCTACACTAGAATAGATGCTAGTGAGAAAAATGAATTGCCTTCTTCATCAATCAACCAAACCATATTAATTAACATCCCATCTTTCTTTTTAATTTAAAAGAGATTGATTGATTAATCTTCTTAATAAGAGGTGAAATCCAAATAAATAAATAGATAAAACACAAGAACAAAAGGGTAAATGGAAAACTAACTTACCTTACCTCCATGAAATCGACGAGCTTGAGATGGTGCATCGCCGTAATGGAGCAGCAGCAGGTCTTGTTGTTCTGCTACTGATCGGTGCATATTTACATATCATTTTGTACCCTTCTAGCTTATGATTTGGTTATGTTTTTGAGTTAAACTTGTGCTTTTAATCCTTTTTGTGTTTATCTTTCAGTTCATTGAGCTTTAGGTAATAATGAGGGCTTTGGATAGTAAATGATGCAATCCATGCATGTTAGGGCCTAATTTGGATGAATGGATGAAGAGCTTAAAGACAAACTCATTTTGGCTACAGCCCCTTGCCAGTCCAGTTCCGTAGGTCATATTGCAAGCTTTGTTTCAGCAACATACACAGCTCAGACGAGGCCGCATTCTTCACGAAAGTTGTTCCAATGGGTGTGTACTATAACATCATAATATGGTGGAAGGAGTCATTTGGTTAAGTTTGAGTGAAATCCGATCTCT